GAGGAGAAAGACCAAGAACCTGCTGTAGGAGCGGAACGAAGTACGGCCGAGGTCGCGCGGCAGCTCCAGACTCAGCAGGGACAGCACCAGCACCCTCAGCGACAGTACCAGCGCCACCAACACCTCGAGCGGCAGGATCTTCAGCAGTACCAGCAGCAGAACCACCGCGAGGACAGACAGCAGTGGTCTCAGCACCAACCCCCTCAGCAGCTCCAGCTCCAGGAGGACCCGCAGGCCCAGCAGCTCCGGGACCGGCAGCACCAGCACCCTCGACTGTCGAAGAAGCTCCAGCTCCAGCAGCACGCCTCCAGCGGCGAGCAAACATCTCGCGCAGCTCCTGTGGAGAGAGGGGCTCCCGTCGAGACGCAGCAGCAGGTGAAACCCCAGGCTCAGCACCCCCAGGCTCAGCAGCTCCCAACTCAGCACCCCCAGGCTCAGCAGCTCCAGGCACAGCACCCCCCGGCTCAGCACCCTCCGCAGTAGTACCCCAAGGCTCAGCACCCCCAGGCTCAGCAGCCCCCAACTCAGCACCCCCAGGCTCAGCAGCTCCAGGCATAGCACCCCCCGGCTCAGCACCCTCCGCAGTAGTACCCCCAGGCCCAGCACCCCCAGGCTCAGCACCCCCAGAGTCAGCACCCCCAGGCTCAGCACCCGCAGCAGCACCAGAGTCACTAGTAACCTCGACCGGGTCAACTGCGTCTACCTGGGACACACCTGAGGAGGCATGAACCTGAGGGGGGAGGGGGTCTACCGGGGAGGGAACCGGCACAAGGAAGTCCGGCGAAGGGGGGAGGGAAGGAGTGCGGTAGGGGAAGAGGCGGTAGAAGGGGACTGACTCGTCGAACGTGACGTCCTGGGAGGACAGAACACGGCGAGAGGTGGGGTGGTAGAACTGCCACCCTGGTGCGTCAGGGGGGAAACCCAGGAAGACGCAGGGAGCAGCACGAGGGGACAGCTTGTCCGCAGACAGGTCGCGGACAAACGCCCGAGATCCCCAGACACGGAACGCAGACGCATCGCCAACCTTTCCCGTCCACAGCAAAGCTGGGGAGGTCTTCGGCATGGAGACCCTGGGGTGAAGGTTGATCTGATGCGCCGCGTATCGGACCGCAAACGGCCACAGAAAATGGGGGGCAGCCGCATGCATCATGGACGTACGGGCGACGTCCATGACCATGCCAATGCGGCGCTCAGCAATCCCATTTTGCTGTGGAGAGTCCGGAAGCATGAAGGTCTGGCGGATGCCTCGTGCACGACAGTAGGCTCGCAGAAGGCCAGAGGAGAACTCTCCGCCTCTGTCCGAGTGCAGACGCAGAACAGGAAAGTCTGAGCCGAAGCTCTTCCTGAGCTGGAGACGAGCCTCGCGGATCCAGTCGATCAGCACCTCAGCGAAAGCACCCTTGCTGAGCAAGGGGAGGACTGTGGTGTAACGCGAGTAGTCGTCAACCACCAACAGAAAGTAGCGTTCGTGACCCTGCCCACGGTCGGGGGCTGGGCCCCACACGTCCATGTGAAGCGTCTGCAGAGGAGCCTCTGTCGGGGGGAACTGGGAGGAGTGAGGAGCAGCCCGGAGGCGACCCTCGACACAGGGGACACAGGAAGGTCCTGGCCCGGAGGGAAGGGGAGGGAGAGACTGGGGAAGACCAGAGACAAGGACACGGGAAGCCGTGCTCCGAAGACGGGGCAAGGAGGGGTGACCAAGACGGTGGTGCCAAAGGAGAGTCTCGTGAGACAGGAGGCGACAAGAACAGGGGGCAGAATCAGGACCTGACCGGGACGCAGCAGCAAGCACCTGACCTGACGCAGCCACCTGACCAGACGCAGGGACAGGAGGAGACTCAACGGTCAGGGTGTAGAGACTCGACCCCGGCCGACGTGAGAACGTGGCCAGGTGTCGGCCTGTGCGTGCCTCCGTGCAGTGGGTCACCCGCTGACTCGCAGGAGTGAACTGGTGAACCCCCACATCCTGCAGGTCCGCTCCACTCACCAAGTTCGTAGAGAACGAGGGAAGGTACAGACCAGACAGGGTGCCTGAAGGGGCAGCCGGACACGGGAGGACAGTGGAGAAGAGAGAGAGGACAGGACCCCCAGAGGGGTCAGCGAGGGAGACGGCAACCGGCCGGCCAAGCGGCGTAAGGGTGGTGCGGTCTCGAAAGAAGGAGCGAGAAGCCCCAGAGTCAAGTGTGAAAGTAAGGGAGGACGAGGGCGACGCAGTACCTGAGAGCGCAGTCTCACCAGTACCTGAGAGCGCAGACGCACTGGCACCTAGAGCAGCTGCCTCACAAGCACCTAGCGCAGCAGTACCAATGCCCGGGTCGGGCTGGAAACACCGGTAACCCTCAGTCTCCTCACTAATAGTCACAGCATACATAGCAGCAAGGATAGCATCAAAATCAAGATCAAAGATCGCTACACCAGCCCTAAGAAGCTCATCCCAGCGAGGGATCTCACTAGCCCCGGGGAACTGCTGACGCCAAGCGTCCGTCAGGCGGCAAAAACAGCGCTGAGTGGGGTGGGCACCCCCACACTGCTCACCCGCGCGGTTGCCGGAACGAAGGATGTAGGTGCAAGGACCAGTACCCCCACCCCTCTGACGCTGAGTGTACCACTCACGAAGCTGCTGAGGCGGAGGGATGTCCCGCGAACGCTGCTGCTGCTGCTGCTGCGACCGCTGGGCACCACCACCGCCCCTCCGCTGCTGGATACCACCCCGACCAGCTCCACCCCCTCCACCACCACCGCCTCCTCCGCTGCCTCCTCCGCCGCCTCCACCTCCGCCGCTGCCACCACCACCACCGCTGCCACCACCACCGCCGCCTCCGCAGCTGCTGCCACCACCACCACCACCCCCGCCACCACTCCCGCCGCCACCCCCACTCCCTCCGCCGCCTCCGCCGCCACCGCCACCGCCCCCTCCAGCTCCACCCGCACCCTTGCCCCCCTTGCCCTTGCCAGAGCGGCGTCTCCCACTAGGGGCAGACGCCGCGCCGACCGACTCAAGACCAAGCAGGTCGGCAGCAGCAGCAGAGGCAACAGAGGGCAGCAAGGGGGAAGGAGAGCACCCCTCAAAGATGGGGGTGCGAGGGTCTCCACGAGAAGCTCCTACAGCGACTATGCTCTTCTCCGCTGCTAGGAGGGCCTTCTCGAGGACGTCGACGGTGAGGGTGGTGGGACAGACTGCGAGAAAGTGGTCCCTGACTACGCGAAGGGAGTCAGGGAGGCGTGCGACTACGTAGTAGAGAGTGATGTACATGGGGGGGGGGTTCTTAGGGCAGAACTCAGCAGGAAGGGCGGCGCGGTAGCGAGTGTCACTAGTGCGGAGGTGCGTAATGAGGTCAGCCACAGTGGGAAAGGCAGAGAGGTCAGGAAAGAGGTAGGGAAGCATGAGACGGCTCAGTGCAGCAGTTGCAGGGGAGGAGTAGCGCGCAACTACAGCGTCGTACAAGGTCTGAGCACTCTTGTACTGACTAAAGTGCGCGCGCTCAGAGGTAGGGAGGTGGCGACGCACAGCAAGACGTGCAGCAGCATCGCGGGTGGCCCACTGAGAGCGCACAGTGGGATCAGCATCAGCAGCAGGAGCAAGAGAGGCGCCAGAGGTAAGGTCAAAGAGAGAGAGGCCGTCTGCCCTATCGCACTGTAAAAACAACTGCAGGTCGTCTACCCAGACCTCAAAGTCAATGGCGCGACCCTCAGCGTCAAAAGCTAGGACACTAGGGGTAGCCATGACGACGACAGCGAAGCAGTGCAAGCAGTAGGGGAAGAGCACGCAGTGACAGTGGGACTGTGCTCACCAGGCAGGGCAGGCCGGACAACTCTGCAGAAGGGCGGCTCGGCGACTCAGCGACTCGGGTGCTGGGCGGCTCGGCTCCCGGGCGGCTCGGCGACAGGGCGGCTCTGGTTCAGGGCAGCTCGGCTCCCGGGCGGCTAGGCGGCAGGGCGGCTCGGGTGTAGGGCGGCTCGGCTCCCGGGCGGCTCGGCGGCCGGGCGGCTCGGGTGTAGGGCGGCTCGGCTCCCGGGCGGCTCGGGTGCGGGGCGGCTCGGCTGCACTGCTGCTCGTCTGCTGTAGGTGGGCGGCTCGGCTGCTGCAGGTAGGGTGGCGGGGCCGCGAGATCAGGGCCAGCGGGGCCGAAGTAGTAGGGCCGGCAGGTGCAGCGGCGGGGACGGCGGGGCCGGCAGAGAGGGCGGCGGAGCCGCGGCTGAGCAGGCGGCGGGGCCGGCGGCGTAGTCGGCGGCTGGGCCGTGTCGTAGTGGTCGGCGGGGCCGCGTCAGAGCAGGCGGCGGGGCCGTGCCAGAGGCGGCGGCGGGGCCGCGTCAGATCAGGCGGCGGGGCCGCGTCAGATCAGGCGGCGGGGCCGCGTCAGAGGCGGCAGCGGGGCCGCGTCAGAGGCTGCGGCGGGGCCGCGTCAGAGGTGGCGACGGGGCTGCGTCAGATCAGGCAGCGGGGCCGCGTCTGAGGTGGCGGCGGGGCCGCGTAAGAGGTGGCGGCGGGACCGCGTCAGAGCAGGCGGCGGGGCCGCGTCGTAGCGGGCGGCGGGGCCGCGATCGGGCGGCGGGGCCGCGACGTGGCGGCGGGGCCGGGATCGGGTGGCGGGGCCGCGATCAGAAGGGGTGGCGGGGTTGCGTCTGAGGGACGGCGGGGCCACGAGGGAAAGGGCGACTCGAGGGGTCGCTAAAAAAAATGCGCGCCTCGGGGCGCGCTTCGGTGGGCCCTAGGCAACGTTCCCACAGGGAACTCGCTCTATACCATGTGAGAATCAATGATCAGGATGGGAATGACTAAGCCAGTGTTGGGTACAAATACAACCCTAGAAAGCTGTACCCCATATGTGCTACCCCACTATAGCCTACAAACATGTATCAGCTATAATAATCTGACAGGCACACGCGCCCAGCCGGCACTCACGCATGATGGCATGAGAGGGCGGTTGGCTCCCTCCCTGGCCCTCCTACAGCCCCACGTCCGTGATCTGCGCGAACCGCGACTTGCGCTGCCTACGAGCTCATCCCTCTTCCTCCTCAGGGGCTGGCCGCTGGCTCGCTCCTGCTGGCAGGGGCAGGGCAGGGTGGGCGGGAGAGGCGTGGAAGAGAGGGGGGTAGGGGAGAGGTGTGAGGGAGCGGTGTGGGTGAGAGGCAGGGGAGAACGTGGAAGAGAGGTGTGGGGGGGGGGGGTGGGGGAGAAGGTGGGGAGAGGGGTGGCAAAGAAAAGGTTACAAAGCCCTTGCTTCTTGCTTTAAAGACATCACGTTTCTGCCATTGCCACCTTGTTCCCCCCATCGCCTCTTACCCTTCCATATCCCCCACACCTCCTTGTCCCCCCCATGGCTCACCTGTAGGCGCAGCCACTCGCGCATGTCCTGTGCCAGCTTGCGCAGCACCATGCGGTCTGCTGCAGCTCCGTGTCTCGGGACACAGCTGTCACACCTGCAGAGGAGGGAGACGCGGAGGGGGGGCATCAAAGGGAAGAGGCACGGAGAGGAGAAAGGGCGGGGGTGATTTGAGACGTGCCAATACAGGCTTGCACCGCCGCAGGACCATGAAGTGCTCTGGCATGCGGTCCTCACACACCTGCCCACACGCCGGGGAGGGGGACATGGAAAGGAGAGGGTGGAATTTGCGCAGAGGGAATTGGTGAGGAGGCCAGAGAGGGAAAGGGGCGGCGATACTTGGAATGGAAACGCGCAGCCTGCAAGAGACGCAGGATTGCACAGCACCACGCGGTACGCAACGCACGCACATGTACTCGCACACCTGCACAGGGGAACAATGGAAGGGGGGAGAGGGGGAGGGGGAGGAGCGGAAAGGGCAGGGATGGCGCGGAGAGGAACAGGCGGGGAGGCTACAGGTGGGGGATGTCGCACAGTGTATTTACGCACCTGAGCACTCACTGATGGACGGGTGGAGTAGTGCGAGGGGTTGGGCCTTGAGGACAAGAATAGAATACGACCGTTAGAATTTCCCGTCGCCACGCGTTTCTCCTCGCTGTGCAACCCTCACACTCTCATCACCAACCAAAACCCCCATCCCCTCCCCCCCTCTCTTCCCTCTCCCCGCCCTCTACCCTACTCCCCACACCCTGCCCTTCACCCACCACTTTCGCCCCACCTCTCTTCACCCTCGGCACCACCCCTCCCCCCTCGTCCCCCCCCACCTCGCGCAACGCTTCTGCGATCTCGCCGCGGGAGCACCCGCTTTCATTCCCGATGCCCGTCCCCCCTTGCCTCTCTCCCCACCTCTCCCTGCCTCCGCAGCGCTCTCCCCGCCTCTCCCCTTCCCCCCATCCCCCGCGCGCACCTCAACGAAGGCGTCGGCGATCTCGTCGCGCGAGCACCTGCTCTCATTCTCGAAGCCCATCTGCCGCCACCGCTCCGCCTCGCGCGGGTCCTTGATCATCAGCACCAGCCGGATCTGCGCATTGGCGCGCAGTGATTGTATTGGCAGGAGCGTAGTGGGGTGGGGCGCGACAAAACGGGAGGGGTGGGGACAGCAGGGAGGGTCCTCGACCAACCGGATCTGCGCGCGCAAGACGCACGTTGCCGTGCGTGACTCACATTGTATTGCGGCAGGCACTCGGAAGACAGCGAAAGACGAAGCATGGGTGAGCATGGGTGTGAGTGGGGAGGACAGCGAAGCGCGAGAAAGACGGACAAGGAGGACCAAGGACGGACATGGAAGGAAGAGAGGGACATGGACTGGCGATGACTGGACAATAACTGACTAAAACACGCACCTCCTGCACCGACATGTCGCGACGCTCCTTGAGCAACTCGATGGTCTGCCACGTCAGCACGCACGCACAGTCATGGATACGAATGAGGCTTGAGGCACGCGGCATGCAGCACGCAGCACGCACACGCACACACACACGCACATCAACGGATGCGAATCAGAATGGCAACGGTACGAAATGGGCAGCTACACCACTTGGCAAGTCTCGTAAATGTCGCATATTGCGAATGACGGCGAACGTCGTGAATGGCCTAAGCGAGCGCGAATCACCTCGAGGATGTCCTGAATGTCCCTCAGGCCCTGCGCCTCTTCCGCCGACAACTGCGCCTCCCCATCCTTCCCCTCCGCCGCCGCCGCCGCTGCCCGCACGGACCGCCTAGGTGCGGAACCCGGTTGTCGCGATGAATCGCGCATGGATTGTTGTGAATGGCACGCTCTTCACGTGCCACGCTACTGTGCCACTCCAACCCCTTCCCCTCAAAACACCCTCGACACATTTTCCCAAGAACCCATCCAAACCACTCAACTCCTCCAAAGCCTATTCCAACCACTCAAGTTACAAACTCCTTTTTCCAACTCATCCTCTCCAACTCAAGCCTATCAACCATCTCTTTAACTACTCCCAACCACCATAGACTTTCCTAGTCCAACTCAACCAATATTCAAACCAACTTCCCATACTCATCCTCAAGTCCCACCATAAGGCACATGACTCCTCATGATTTTCCATGTGCTTTCCTTTCCTACTCATCAAAGTTTACCCAAGTCATCTACCTCCTCCAATTATCCTCCTCCCATGTGCCTTCAAGCACATGCTTCCACTTCCTAGTCATCAACCTCCACATGCCTCTCATTTATTCCTTCCTTCCTTCCTTTCACAAGTCACCAAAGTTGCCACCTCATCCCTGAGGACTTCATGATTATCCCATCACCTCCTATTACAAGGCAACAAAGCTCATCATCTCCTCCACTCATCCTTATCCAACTCACTAAGCTCTCTTCCAACTCAACTAGGCTTACATCTCCAACTCATCAAGTGCTCAACCACCATCACATGCTCCAATACTATTCATCTACATCAAGCATCTCTACAACTTCTCAAGAAGGTTCTTCAATGACAACAATGCATTCCAAGCTTCTTCACCAAGCTCATTTCCAAGCTTCTCCTTCAAGCTCCTCTTCTACTACAAAGGCTCCTCACTAGCAACCAAGTTCTATGTCTCCAAAAAGTTGATACTCTTATGCAACTCTCTTCCAAGGCTACCATTGATGGTTACTCTCTCTATGCATGCCTATGTATCCCTCATGGATCTATAAGGCTTGTACTATACCTCTTTCAATATAAGTTTATGCTCACAAAGTGTCTCTCATTAGTCTACAAAGTTAAGCATCAAGTGAAGAGTAGTCACCTCATACTCTACTTGAGTATAAGGTTCATTACTTCCTACAAGCTTGAGGAAGGATCATCACCCAACACCAAGCTTGATGTTCTTCTTCAAGTAAAGCTCTCAAGACCAAGTCATTCCTACAAGTCACCTCTACAACTATCCCTAGTAAGATTCACTTAAGTAAGTGCTTATCACCTCTCTTATTCTCTCAACAAGCTCATACTCTCTTTCTCCTTTTTTGAATTCTTATCTCATCAAGCATTCCACCTTACACAAGTTTCTCTTTATAGTCACAAGTTCTAAGTATCATCTTCTCTTCTATCAAGCTCATCCTCATTTGCTACAATTCCACTGTTCACTCTTGTCTTATTCTATTGTGCAATCATACTCTTTTATCCTTATCTCAATTATCGACATGGATAAGGTAAGCGTCTAGAGCTTCTCCTCTTGGCTGCTAGATGAACGGTTGTCCTGACAGATGTATAGGTTTTGTTGTAGTTCTCAACCGCACCGCATCCCCGTAAAAATGGGTTGCTGGTAGGTGCTTTGTGCGGTTTCCTAACTTCCATACCGAACCTCCTAATATGGCTCGCCTTGGAGGGAGCGAGCCTTGGCGCTGTTTCTGCTGTGCTCCCAACCACCGTCCGCTAGTTCCCAAACCTAAGTTTTGGTTAGTGAAGCGAGAAACCTTGGTTGGGATGTAACCAGAGTAGGTTTGGCAGTAAGGCTCATGCGGTACAAAATGGTTGGCGCAGGCAAGGGAAGGCAAACCACACAAACCCCGAGTGTTTTCCTGTGCGGGGCGCTTCCTCCCTCTCCTTCCTGGGAGGAACGAATGCCCAGCAGAAACTCTGCGTCTGTGTGTGTGGCTAGCTGAGTGCGAGCTTGGATAGTCAAGCCATGGTGCTGTTCGCCAGGAAATCTTAATTTGAAATGAAAAAGATGGCATCGGCATCGCGACCACATCTGGAAACGGAGGCGGAACCCACCTCCGAGGTTTGGACGTAATGCCGTTCAAGAAACTTCTGCGCCTGCGGTTGCGAACCTCCGTCCTCACCTTCCCCCCAATCCCCTTTGAACATCAATGCGACGGCTGTGCCATCGCTGTGCTTCGAAAAACGCAGCATGGCGATGGCATGGCTTGGGGATGGAACTTTGCCTGGGGACGAAGTTGCGTCCCCGCTCCATATGCCGCCGAGCAGTTCGTTTTGGTTGACAAATGGGGGCGTTCGCCAGACACCCACTTTGATTGTTGGTCTGGACGATTGGGGAGGCTCGGCACCTTTTTACGAGCTGACCAGGCTGACGGAGGTAAACGAACCCTAACTGACGAGATCAGGAAGGCGAGACCCACCTTCCTGATCCCCTCGTTATCCCATGGTTTTTTACTTAATTGGTGCTGGCGAACAGCCCCCATATGCAGACTCGGAATAGCAGCTGTTGAAAGCGCAGGTTTAGCTGACTGAACATTTTTGGGTAAGTAGCTTTGGCAGGGGTACTACTAGCGACCCTGCGCTTTGAAGGGGACTACAGTGCCAGTAGCGGGCACTTTCCGGCCATTTTCAGGTGCATGTAAATGAGTCGAGGCGCGCTATTCAGGTGCATGCCAAGTGGCGTACACTATTCTCAGGTTAAACTATGGCTCTTGTAATTTTACACGTTGTTCAAGATTCGATTAAATTTGGCACAAAAGCTCTGAAATAGATGCAATTTCGGGCTACGCAAATCGGGGTCGGAATGGTTGGCTCTCGATGCTGCATTTTCTGACGTCACTCACAGCAATGATTGCATTTCTGCCCAATTTCTACGCAAATCTTTGCTTCGCACCAACTCTTTTTGAACGAATTGTAATGGTAAATCGTTTGTACTCTTGGCGCAGGTGGCGGTGTCGAACTTATATGCTATAGTCTTTCTAGGCTGTAGTGGGGTAGACAGTATGGGGTACAGCTTTCTAGGGTTTCATATTTGTACCCAGCTCATTTCCCAGTTCACCATTCTCGTTCTAAATTTCACATGGTATCAGAGCAGGTTCCCTAGTGGGAACGCTTCCTAGGGCTCACCACGATCAACTTTTTTTTCTCCTGCCCGGAGCGCGCTTCCCTCCTTCCCGAGTCGCGCCCCGTGTGCCCTCCCTCCCGTCGCGTCCCTAGCCCCTAGCGGCCCGACGCGCCCTCTTTAGGCCCCTTGCGGCCCCTTTCACGGCCCTTCGCGGCCCCTTACGGCCCCTCGCGGCCCCTTACGGCCCCTCGCGCCGCCCCTCGCGGCCCCTTCGCGGCCTTACGCCGCCCTTTACGGCCCCGTCGCCGCCCTTCGCGGCCTCTCGCGGCCCCGTCTCGGCTCCGTCGCCGCCCTTCACGGCCCCTCACGGCCCCTTACGGCCCCTTGCGCCGCCCTCTCGCAGCCCCGCCGCCGCCCCTCACCGGCCCCGTCGCTGCCCTACCGCGGCCCCGTCGCCGCTCTCTGGCGGCCCCGCCACCACCCTTCAGCGGCCCAGTCGCCGCCCTACCGCGGCCCCGTTGCCGCCCTCTAACGGCCCCACCGCCGCCCTTCAGCGGCCCCGTCGCCGCACTACCGCGGCCCCGACGCCGCCCTCTAGCGGCCCCGACGCCGCCCTCTAGCGGCCCCGCCGCCGCCCCATCAGCGGCCCCGTCACCGCCCTCCAGCGGCCCCGTTGCCGCCCTCTAGCGGCCCCGCTGCCGCCCTTCCGCGGCCCCGTCGCCGCCCTACACTGGCCCTGCCGCCGCAGTCGCTGAGCCGCCACAACTGCAGCCGAGCTGCCGAGCCGCCGAGCCCCCACGGAGCCGCCAAGCAGCCGCCGAGCCCCCACTGAGCCGCCAAGCAGCCGCCGAGCCGCAGCCGAGCCGCCGCCGAGCCGCAGCCGAGCTGCCGCCGAGCCGCCGCCGAGCCGCCGCCGAGCCGCCGAGCCGCTGCTGAGCCGCCGAACCACCGCCACCGCAGTTGCGGCCCTGTTACTGCCGGCGTGCCCCGGCCCTCCCCACTCGGACTGGTGAGAGCTTTCCCGAGCAGCGTCTCTCCCACTACACTACCTCTAGCCTGCCGCTCTCACCCCTAGATTGCTGCTGTCATGGCTACCCCCAGTGTCCTTACCTTTGATGCTGAGGGTCGGGCTGTTGACTTTGAGGTCTGGGTCGATGACTTGCAGCTTTTCCTACAGTGCGATAGGGCAGACGATCTCTCCCTTTTCGATCTCACGTCTGGTGCCTCTCCTGCCCCGTCTGCTGATGCTGATGCCACTGTTCGATCACAGTGGGCCACACGCGATTCTGCTGCTCGCCTTGCTGTGCGGCGCCTCTTACCGACTGCTGAGCGCGCGCATTTTAGTCAGTGCAAAGTGCTAAGACCTTGTACAACGCTGTCCTTGCGTGCTACTCTTCCCCTGCCCTTGCTGCCCTTAGCCGCCTCATTCTGCCGTACCTCTTCCCTGACCTCGCCGCTTTTCCCACAGTCGCTGACCTCATTACGCACCTT